CGAGGTGACAGCACAGTAGAAGGCAGGGCAACGAACAGGCAGACGTGCTTTCCGGGAACACTTTCTCTGCAGCGCTTCTTCGAGCTTTCCCTCGTCTGTCTCGTTGGAGGTCATCACGTCAGCCGTCGCCGTCGCCGCCGCTTTCTCATCGAGTTCTTCAGCTGCCTTGAAGCAACACCACCACCGCCGCCGCCTTATCACCGTCACCGATAAACAACAGCTAGCACAGCTGCCACTCTCATTCACTGGGTAAGTGTTGATCACGCCGGTGAGCAGTGTCCTCTCCTCTTGCACCCGCTTTCTTTCCTCAAACCACTTGTTCTCTCACTCTTCGGAAGGTTGCTATAAATAATCTCGACTACCATCACTCGCTTTCTCTCTCTCTCTCTCTCTCTGCAGTGCACTTGTCATCCTCGTCGTCGTCGTTGCCGTCAGTCACCTCGAAGCGTCAGCCGTCAGCAGCAGCAGCAGCAGTGTTTGACCTACAGCGACAAGTTGTCTTCTTCAATACTAACTTTGATTCNCTTTCTTTCCTCAAACCACTTGTTCTCTCACTCTTCGGAAGGTTGCTATAAATAATCTCGACTACCATCACTCTCTCTTTCTCTCTCTGCAGTGCACTTGTCATCCTCGCCGTCGTCGTTGCCGTCTTCTTCTCGACCGTCAGTCACCTCGAAGCGTCAGCCGTCAGCAGCTCTTCAGCAGCAGCAGCAGTGTTTGACCTACAGCGACAAGTTGTCTTCTTCAATACTAACTTTGATTCAAACACTTTGATTCAACAACTTCTTCCGTAAAGACCATGGCCCCTGAACCAGTCCGCGTTCTCATCACCGGTAAGTGACATCGGGTACAGGTGGTGCTTTCCAGCGGTGAAGATGACACTGATGTGTTCATTTCTATTTCTCCTTCTCCTTCTCAATTTTCAGGCGCCGCCGGCCAGATCGGCTACAGTCTGATTCCGCTCGTCTGCAAGGGCGACGTCTTCGGCCCCGCCCAGCCGGTCATCCTCCACCTGCTGGACATTCCGCCGATGAAGGGCGTCCTCGACGGAGTGGTCATGGAGATCAACGACTGCGCCTACCCGCTCCTCCTCGACACGGTGGCCACCGTCGACGAGGCGGAGGCCTTTCGCAACATCGACGCCGCCTTCCTCGTCGGCTCGATGCCCCGTCGCGAGGGCATGGAGCGCAAGGACCTCCTGGCGGCCAATGTCAAGGTAAGGAAGAGGATAATATCGTTTTCATTTCTAAAACCTCTCTTTCTTTAGATCTTTGCCTCTCAGGGCCGCGCCCTGGCCGCCCACTCGAAGCCGTCGGTGAAGGTGCTGGTGGTGGGCAACCCCGCCAACACCAACGCCCTCATCGCCAGCTACTTCGCCAAGGACAAGATTCCGGCGCGCAACTTCACCGCCATGACCCGACTGGACCAGAACCGAGCGACGGCGCTTCTCGCCCGCGAGAACCAGGTCCCGGTGGCCTCGGTGGAGAAGGTGGTCATCTGGGGCAACCACTCCTCGACGCAGTTCCCCGACGCCTCCAATGCGACGGCCAACGGAGCGAAGCTGGCCTTCTCCGGCCACAAGGAGGACTTTATCAGCACGGTGCAGAAGCGCGGCGCCGCCGTCATTGCCGCCCGCAAGCTGAGCAGTGCCATGTCGGCGGCCAAGGCCGCGGCCGATCACATGCGCGACTGGTTTCAGGGTAAGTGCTTCGATTTGGTTCGTCTTTGTTTTGACCAACCCTGCTCTCTTCTTCCCCTCCCCTGCCAGGCACCGACAAGTGGGTCTCCATGGGCGTCATCTCCGATGGGAACCCCTACGCCGGCGCGGGCGTCCCCGACGGCCTCATCTTCAGCTTCCCCTGCACCGTCGACCCGGCCACCAAGGAGTGGGCCATCGTGCCGGGCGTCGCCTTTGACGACTTTGCCGCCAAACGCATCGCCGCCACCGCGCAGGAGCTCAGCGAGGAGCGCGGAGAGGCGCAGGCGGCCACTGCCAACGCCTAAGCAGAAGATCAAGTCACAGCAGTAGACAGAGAAGTCCACAGAAGATGAAGAAGAAGATTCCTCCCACTTAGTGCAAATGCTTTCTCCCCCGATGTGTGGTGGTGATCGTTTTCTTTCCGGTGTCCGGTGTTTATTACTCTTTCTTACTAATAAAAATGAAGTCCTTCCACTTGAAGAGTTTGTTGTTGTCAGTGTGTTTAGCCAATCTCTTCAATGAGCGGTGTGGTGGTGGGGGTGGTGGGGGCAAAGTGAACACGTTTTGAAGATGAGGATGATGATGGCTTTTCAGTCTTCCGAACTTCCTCCTCTTCCTCTTTNAGAGTTTGTTGTTGTCAGTGTGTTTAGCCAATCTCTTCAATGAGAGGTGTGGTGGTGGTGGTAGGGGCAAAGTGAACACGTTTTGAGGAAGAGGATGATGATGATGCCTTTTCAGTTTTTCGAACTTCCTCCTCTTCTTCTTCGTAGACCTCCTCACAGGTGCGCTCAAAGAGCAGATTCTCCTGGTTGAGGCGGACAATCTCCGCCTCGATCGCCGGCAGCACCCCCGCCTGCCCTATGATCTCCTCCTCGCCAAACTCCACCGACCAGCTGAGGTAGAAGAGGAGCTTCCGACGGGCGAGTTCGATCCGCCTGGCCAGGGATTTCTCCTCTTTGGAGTTCTTCTTAGCAAAGTTCTTCTGCGCCGCCCGCTGAACTCGACTGAGAATGACAATGAGGTCGGAGAGGACGAGGAGGATGGCCTTGGGGGCGTGAAGTACTTTAGCAGCAGAGGAGGAGGATGAGGAGGAGGAGGAAGTTGAATCCCGAATGGTGAGAAGCCGCCCTGGAGAGGCAAAGTCAAAGACGGTCTTCAGGTCCTCGAGCAGCTCCACGGCTGAGAGCTTCTGCTGAAGACTGGTCGTGGTGGTGTCACTTTCATTCGATGATGATGATGATGATGATGATGAGAGAAAGCAGCTCAGAGAGAGCTCCAGAGCCTGTGAGGCGTTCTCAAGGACAAAGTCGCCGGACTTTTTGTCCGAGTCGAGCAGTGGACAGAGGCGAAAGAGCTCCAGGGCAATGTCCACCGTCCAGCGACCCAATTCATCTTCCTCATCTTCTTCACCCTCTCCCTCATTGAGAGGCCGGTGACAGGCAATCTCGCCGTTGTAGAGTCGAGTCAGGCGGCAGTAGGCAAAGACGGTGCTGATGATGGCCAGGCCGATGGACGGTGAGGGCCGTTTCTGTTTCGAAAAAGAGGGAGAAAGTTGATGAAATTTCTAAAAACCGGTTCAATCTAGTTACCGAAGTCAGCTTGGAGATGCGCTCAAACTGCGTGTATAAACAGGGATAAGAGCTGCCTTCTTCTTCTTCTTCATCCTCTTCTTCTTCATCCTCATCTTCAGCAGCATCAGCCGACTCAACTGATACCGTCCGGTGCCAGGCCTGTCGCCGCCACCAGGGCCGCCACTGGGTGATGAGGCCGCTGAAGAGGCGCTCATGGCCGTTCACCAGGCGAATGAACTCCTCTCGGTCGGCGTCGTCCAGCAGCTGCAGCCAGGCACCATCCAGAGCCTCCACTGAAACACTGCCGTCGCCCAGACGGGCGCCCAGCTTCTCCACAAACTGCCGCAGCTGAGGACTGCTCGTCAGGAGGAGACTGTCGAGGTTGATCGACTCGAGATCGTCGGCTTCTTCGTCGTCCTCCTTCCCGTTGATCAGATCAAGGTAGTCGAGAATGTCCTCATTGGTGGCCGTCGAGTTGCGCTTCAGCAGCTGCAGAAAGCGA